TTCTGCGCTATATACATTAGTGTCTTGTTTATTCAATATAAACGGGCTGGCAGAACGTTGGATAAGCGAAAATGTTGGATAATAAGGATGGATTAAGGAAAACCTATTAAATGTCAAATTACATTATCATTTTACAAATTAAGGTCCAAACATCATGTTTTACAACAAATATACAGAAAAAGCAGTTCAGGAACCACTTTGACCAGAGACCACTTTGACCAGGGATCACTTGAGAAGGAACCACTTTGACCAGGGAACGCCTTGACCAGGGAACACTTGTCCAGAGATCTCTTTGACCAGGGATAACTTGACCAGGGACCACTTTGACCAGGGACCACTTGATCAGAGGCCACTTTGACCAGGGACCACTTTGATTAGGGACCACTTTGACCAGGGACCACTTGATCAGGGATCACTTTGACCAGGGAACACTTTGACCAGGGACCACTTGACCAGGGACCACCCTCCAACATCAGTACCAAAAGAGTTAGGAGGCAACTTTAGATTCGGTTTGGTTATTTGGGGTGTTAATTCAGAAAATTGCATTGGATAGCTCTTATTTCTGATACAAAACATATGCCATCCAGTTGTCGCATCTGCTCGCCCACAGAAAACCATATTTAATAAGCCTTGGCATTATAAGAGAGTTTCATGAGACCAGTCATTATCATTGCAACACTGTTGTAACTGTGAGGCCGTGAACCATATTTTAGTTCTTACGGACCACAGGTTGGGAACCACTGGTATAGAGCAATGGTTTCCAAACCTTGGCCTTTCAGTTATTTTGGATTTCAGATCCCAGAATTCCTGAACATTAGTCAAGCTGACTGGGGCTTTTGGGAGTTCAAATCACCTTGAGGACCAAAGTTTGGGAACCACTGACATAGAGGAGGAGATTAAGATAACAAGTTGAATTTTGTTTTGCCTAGTTTAGTGAATGAAATGTGCTGCTATGTCTTTGTTAAAGAACTGTACTTAACCTTTGGTCTTGGTAGAGGAAATGTTAGTAGTCTCCTTTCCCTGTTTACATTCTCTTAAAAATTGAACAAATTGCACCAGGAGGAAAACAGATGAATTCTTGCATCATTAAACAGTGATAATATGTCAAAATAAGCCACTTAACATAAGGAATTGGCTTTAACCCACTTTTGCAAATGTTGATACCTCTGTGGAAGCCATTCTCAAATGCGATCACTACAAAAAAGGAGGGAGTTGGCAGTAACCCTTGCAGGGCTGAGTGTCACTTCCCTAATTTTAGAAGTTATTTCAGGTAATTCTGCCAGAGAGAGAAAGAGGAGATTTCTTTCAGTTGCAATTAATTTCCTCAGGGCAATCTAAATATAATATTGATTCCTTTATCCACAGTTAGGGCTGTTTTTTTCGTTGATATAGGTATCAGTAAAAATGAGATGTGGGTTACCAGGAATGTTCAGTGTGTTTGCAAATTTTTAGTGGATGGTTGAGGAGCACAAATAACGGAAAGGGAGCCCTCGGTGGCACAGTGAGTTAAACCACTGAGCTGCTGAACTTGCTGACCGAAAGATCAGCAGTTTGAATCCAGGGAGTGAGGTGAGCTCTTGCTGTTAGCTCCAGCTTCTGCCGACCTAGCAGCTCGGAAACATGCAAATGTGAGTAGATCAATAGGTACTGGCCAGGTGAGAAAGCAATGGCGTTCCATGCAGTCCTCCTGGCCACATGACCTTGGAGGTGTCTACAGACAACGCCAGCTCGTTGGCTTAGAAATGGAGATGAGCACCAACTCCAAGAGTCGGACACGACTAATCTTAATGTCAAGGGGAAACCTTTACCTTTACCTTTACCTTACCATATTCTGTCTGATCTTGAAAGCTAAGCATGGTCAGCCCTGGTTAGTGTTTGGGTGGGAGACTGCCAGTGAATATCAAGGCTGTAGGCTATATTTCAGAGGAAGAAACTGGCAAAACCATATCTGAGTATTCCTTGCCTAAGAAAAATTCATGGGGTCCACATATAGGCCACCTGAAGGCACATCCATATAAACAATGGAGAACATTACTAAATATTGGATGCAGATTCAGTATGGGGTGCACATGTGTCCTGTTTGTTTGTTTTCACAAAAGGTACCAGCAAAGAGTAGTGTTCCATGATTAAAGTATAGGTTATGTGTCCCTTATCTAAATGCTTGGGACCAGAAGTGTTTTGAGAATCCCCGTATTTGCATACATATCCATAATGAAATATCTTGGAGATGAAATCCGAGTCTGAACATGAAATTCATTTAATGTTTCTTATTCATATATCCTAAAGGTAATTTTATACCTTGATATATGATAGCCATGTATAAATATGTGGGGGGAAGTCATAGGAAGCGGGCATGTTTTCTTCTGTTCTGGAGACCAGGACGTGGAACAATGGCTTAAAACTACAGGAAAGGCGATTCCATCTGAAAATTAGGAAGAACTTCCTGACTGTGAGAGCTGTTTAGCAGTGGAACTCTCTGCTCTGGAGTGTGGTGGCGGCTCCTTCTTTGGAGGCTTTTAAACAGAGGCTGGATGACTATCTGTCAGGGGTGCTTTGAATGCGATTTTCCTACTTCTTGGCAGGAGGTGGACTGGATGGTCCATGAGGTCTCTTCCATCTCTATGATTCTATGATTCTATATGCATTATTTGAAAGAACTGTGTGCTTGAAATAATGTTTGTGTACAGTGAACCATCAGAAAGTAAAGGTGTCACTGTCACAGCCTCCCATGAGAACTGTTTTGGGTTTTGGAGTATTTCCAATTTTGGAATTCCAGATAAGGGATGTGCAACCTGTATGTTTCTATTGTAGAGTTTCATGGAAGAGGGACCCAGAGACTGCTGTGTTTGCTCCTTACCTATAGCTTAAAGGGAAAGCCAAGGCTTTGTTTTGTGTATGACCTTTCTATTAGTTTGTGGTAGCCCATTGTTGTTTGGGATTGGCATTCAGAATGTAAGTGTGTATTGTGCTGTCCTGATATAAAAGTAGTAGTACTTTGGGGGGCTATTTGACAAAGTTTAATTACTGGAGCCCCCGGTGGCACAGTGGGTTAAAGCGCTGAGCTGCTGAGCTTGTTGACTGAAAGGTCGCAGGTTCGAATTTGGGGAGAGGCGTGAGCTTCCGCTATCAGCCCCAGCTTCTGCCAACCTAGCAGTTCGAAAACATGCAAATGTGAGTAGATCAATAGGAACTGTTCCGGCGGGAAGGTAATGGTGCTCCACACAGTCATTGCCGGCCACATGACCTTGGAGGTGTCTATGGACAATGCCGGCTCTTTGGCTTAGAAATGGAGATGAGCACCACACCCCAGAGTTGGACACGACTGGACTTAATGTCAGGGGAAAACCTTTACCTTTACTAATTACTGTTTCGTTTAAATAAAATAAAGGTTTCCCCTTGACATGAAGTCTAGTCGTGTCTCTGGGGGTGGTGCTCATTTCCATTTCTAAGCCGAAGAGCCAGCATTATCCATAGACGCCTCCAAGGTCATGTGGCCGGCATGACTGCATGGAGCGCCGTTACCTTCCCGCTAAAGCGGTACCTATTGATCTACTCACATTTGCAGGTTTTCAAGCTGCTAGGTTGGCAGAAACTGGGACTAACAGCAGGAGCTCGCCCCGCTCCCCAGATTCGAACCACTGTCAGCAAGTTCAGCAGCTCAGCAGTTTAACCCGCTGCTCCACATGGGCTCTGCATTCTTTAGAATACAGAGCCTAAATTTAAATAGTCTCAACTACCAGGAATTTGGTCAAGTACATTTCATTGATTCAGTGAATCTAAAGTGGTTGAGGCTAACAATCAGATCTAAATTTCTAGATGAAATTAAATATTAATCTGGACATTTTTTCCTAAAACCATTGGCACGGAGCAATAATTATAAATGTAGATATTGGGCATATGCGGGAAATATGCCAGTCTCTAACAGTCTTCACAGGCACACTACTGTTTCATGTGTTCCTTTCCTGCTTGAAAACACACATTTTGCTATGCTGCTTTACCCCTTGTTTGTGGGCTAAAATCTGGATCAACTGGGGCAGTCAATCTTTGTGAAGTGTTTACTTTCCTCGGGGACATGTTTTCAAATCGTGCTTTCAGTTGTTACAAATAGGGTTTTCATTTAATTGTGTTTTGATAGTGTTTTGAGAAGCTTCCCACAGGATGGTAAAACATCAACCATCCGGGCGTCCCCTGAGCTACGTCCTTGCAGACAGCCAATTCTCTCACACCAGAAGCAACTTGCAGTTTCTCAAGGCACTCCTGACACACAAACACAAAAATCATTTCAGTTTTCCCTTCTTTCTCATTTTACACAACATTAGAGCTTCAAATGTATTATGAACACATTTTAGATCTTTTTAACAGCATTTGTTAAACATGAATTTAAATGGCACACTCCCAAGATTTCTATTCCCAAATAGCAGATTAAAACATGTAAGTCAATCGCTAGGAAATATGTGCTTCTGTTGATGAGCCATTTGACTATTAATATATAATAACACAGATAAGGGAAATGATATGGTTCAGTGTTTTACACAGCATATAGTACTGATTATTATTATTATTTAAAAAAAAAATCAGTTAGAGGGGAAATACCCACTATTCCTATTCATTTCTTGCAAAAAGAGGTTTCTCTAGCTCTTGGGGGATAATCCTGCAAGTGGATAATTCTGATGAGAAATGCTTTCAATTTAGTAGCACTGCTTTACATACTTTTGTCAGCGAAAATTTGTATGGTTAGTTTGTAAGTGAAAAGAAAGGGAAAGTTTAATAGTAAGAGATGGGCCTGTTGCCCCCAATTCTATAGATTTCTAGTTTGAAATAAGGCCGCATCTCAATACATCTGGAGACCCCTTGTATTAAAGGTAGCCTTAGCCACCTGGGAATCCATATTTTATACAAGGCACCCATTTCCTGAGCACGTGCTGGGCATCAGTTGGTGTATTGTGTGAAGCTGCATTTCTCTGCCATTGATATTAAGACATTTTCCTCTTTGTTCTCAGGGGTGGACATTGATCCTATGACGCATGCCCGGAAGAAACAGCTCTTACTTCTGAAACACTCAGCTGGTTCTGCGGGCCAAGCTTTGTCACCGATTGACGGTGAGAGAATGGATAGGACTGACGCGGAGGATAGCGAGCAAGGAAATGGCACTGAGGGGCAAAACTGCCAGAGCAGATTTGCAGGCGTGAATAAAAGCAGGATTTCACAGGAACTCCGAAAGACGTACCCATTGAGGAAACGTCTCAGCTCATCTGTGGATAAAAAAACATGCTCAGTGCTCCTCACTAGACTGGAGGATGTCGCCACATCGTTGTCAGAAGGAACTCACGGCGGGATAAAAAGAGGTCTTGCCCACTGTATGGATGACCTCAGGTCTGTCTGCTTTCCAAAACCAGTTCAGGTGGTGGCTGCAGGGAAACCCGATTCCTCTGGAGGAAAATGCACAATATCCTGTCCAGGAATGGAACAAGAAGGGCACACTGCGTGTCTGTCAGAACCAAGGAAACGAAGGCTAGCCTCCCTGAATGCCGAAGCTGTCAACAACCTGCTTTTCGAACGGGATGATGGCTTATTATCCGGCAGGCGTTTTCGCAAAGATGCCTCCAAAGTCGGTGGAGTTTGTTGCACTAAGAGCACATGTTGCAACTCTCAGGGGACTTGGCATGTGATGGAAAAACAGAGCTCTAAAACGGTGAAGGGAAAACACCAAAACAAATTGGGTCCCAAGTCTGCTCCTGGCGACCAGTCGTTGGATGATGCCTTTGAAGGGAAGAGGCAGGAGGATGGCGGGATTTCCTACCACCCGGCTCCCAAAAGACTGGCCAGTCTCAATGCTGCTGCGTTTCTGAAACTGACTCATGAAAAAGACCAACCGTTAAAGTCGAGGAGTAAATCAACGGGAGAAAGCAGGCCTGAGAACCACAGTTCCAAATCAAAGCTCAAGTGGGCCAAAGCCAACGGGAAAAGCTGTGTTAAACCCAAAAAGGAAACGTCCACTATAAATACAGATGGTCAGCACAGTTGGCAAGGAGTCCCTGAGGGTTCGTTCAGAAAAGTAACCCATCAGGATCCTCCCAGACTCTATGGAAAAACGGAATCTATCAATTACGAACCGAACTCTTGTGAAGGCACAGAGGGCTTCTTTCACCGGCTGCCTTTGCTAATGGGTGGGCAAGCGTCCATGAAGCCTGAATATGGAAGGCCTGGAGAGAAATCTCCAACTCCCAAACAGGAATTTCATCAGCCTTCCTTCCCAGTACCTCAGTTCCATCCTTTGCCTGTGCCGGGAAACCATCCAGATTGTGGCTGTCTCTATGAATCGTCGGACTTGACACCATTGAATGGATTTTATGTTTATTATGGCCAAAGTGGATACAATACTTACACTCATTGCTCAGTTTACCCCAAGGATGAGCTGCCCCAGCCAACGGGCTGTGAGGGGCTCTTGGTATCTCAAGGTTCCTTACCGTCGGACCCTTCGTTTCAGCCCTTTCACTGGTGTAACTCTCCATACTGTTGTGGGGAAGGACCGGCAATTAATAGTTACAGCCTGTGTGGAGTTATGCATGTACCAGAAAGCAGAATCGGTGGTGTGCATACTGGGCGGAATGGCTACCCTTATAAGATGCCTTTTGCAGCAGGTAAGCTTTAAAAAGTTTCTTCACCCTATTCCTAATATTTGTTATTGTAATATGGCTATTATCATCATCGTCTTCATCATCAAATAGGTACTTATATTAGCAGCTGTAATGAGCAAAATATAATAGAATCTCGCTTATCCAACCTTCGCTCATCCAGCGTTCTGTATTATCCAATGCAGTCTGCATCCCACCCGGATCCACAGCTGCTTCAATACATTGCAGTGTTTTGGTGTTAAATTTGTAAATAGAGTAATTACTACATAACATTACCATGTATGGAACCGCTTTTTCTGTTGGTTTGTTGTAAAACATGATGCTTTGGTGCTTCATTTGTAAAATCATCACGCAGTTTGACATTTAATAGGCTTTTCCTTAATACCTCCTTATTATCCAACATTTTTGCTTTTCTAAAGTTCTGTTTATGTTTATGTTGGATAAGCGAGACTCTACTGTAGTGTCATGGTAGTCAGCATTTAATACAGCAAGATGAGAGCAAGGTAGGGTTTTTTTTCTGAATTGTTGGGTGCTAGGATGTTGTTTTGGTTTCTTGACATCTTCACACCTAAGAAGTCAATATTATGTAACTCCCCACACACCCTACTGTATGTTTTTATTCATGGAAAGATACAGATGTGATTGTGGAGGTGGCCCTTATGGAATCTTCTGCACAAAACAGCTGCCTTACTTTGCTTATTAGGAAGGCCCTCTGTTTCTGTGATACATTCTGCCTCTCAATTCTTGAGTTTCACAGACCGGTTTCTCCAACCAGGGTCTTGTATTCGGAGTGTGCTGCATGTGGCAAGTAGCTTGACAGTTTTGTATGGGGAGTTTCATTTTTATAAACACCTCTTTGTTTGATCCTGGCTTATGTTTATCACATGAGATGACAGGCTTAGAGACTTGGAACCTACCCAAATTGGTCTCTGTTTTGCTAAAGATAACTTCATTTGCAAAGAGAAACTTGAGTACTTTGAAGTGTTGAAATTTCTATGGATGGTTTTGTCTTGTTTAAATGGAAAATCAGATCTTTTGCTTGGATTAGTGTTGATTTCCCCCAAAACATTAATAGGAAGCTGCCACACATTGAGACAAATAGGAACTCATTTTGACACTTCTGATTGCAACCATTTCCCAGGGTTTCAGGTAGGATTCATTCCTACTCCTACTTGGAGGTCCCTGATGGTGGTCAATCAGGTCTGACCCTATTAAGTTCCAGGACCAGACAAGATTACAGTGCCTAAAGAGATCAACAGAAGGATGTTATGCATGTGCAAGAGTTGAGAGTATACAAGGGGGGTGGCAACTTATTTAACTTCATATATCCTCACATATCTGGCCAAGAATCCATGTATGGCATTACTGATAAGATTATCAAGGTGCTGGCTTTTGCCTCTAAAGCCCTAAACGATTCTGGCCCATCTTACCTGTCCGAACGTATCTCCCTCTATGAACCATCACGGAGATTAAGATCTTCTGGGGAGGCCCTCGTCTCGGTCCTGCCTCCATCGCAAGTGCAGTTGGTGGGAACGAGAGACAGGGCCTTCTCAGTGGTGGCTCCTCGGCTCTGGAACTCTTTCCCCAGTGAGATTAGATCAGCAGTGTAAAGAGTAATTAGGAAATATGTGTAATGACAATAGGAAAGGCTATGATGTATAATTTTTGGATCATGTGATTTTAATATTTATTCTAGATATTTTAATGCTTTGTCTTAATGTGTAAATGTTGTTTATGCCTTATGTTTAATGGTTTTAATGATTATATGTTAGTGTTCAGTTATTATTATTTTTTTCCCTTTCTACATGTATGTTGGTATTGAAATTTTGCCATTGATATGTTGTAAACCTCCCTGATTCCCCTCAGGGGTGAGAATGGCAGTATATAAATATAGTAAATAAATAAATGAACTGTGTTGTAGTATATCTGGAGAAATCCTGACTGGATTAATATCATTATGAGAGGATAGAAAATATTGTGGTGATTACTGTGGTGAAGGGGTATGTATGACCTTCCAGATGTTGTTCTGTATGCCTTGCCATCTTAGTTGGTAGGGCTCGGTGGAGTTGGTGTCCAGCAGCATTTGGAGCAGCCAGAGAGGCCCACTCCAGGGACAGGTTTTCAGATGAAAAACTGGAAGTCCTTCATCCGTGGAGGCGTTTTATCGGAAGGATTAAGCTATTCCCCCAGACTTTCATAGACCTCCTTGAAAACGTCCACAGAAGAGAATGCTTGTCTGCATATCTTACGCCATGGTTCAGCAAGGCCATGTTCAAAATACTGGTGAGAAGGCATATCTTTATTCCTCTCTGGAGCATCACTGCTGCAAGAACACTGCAAGGAGCGACATTAGCCTGGAAATGGATAGTTTCCAGATTACAGTCAGCAGGCTGGATCAATATTTACGCACATGGCCTGCCCTACAGTAGCCCCCTGAAAATGCTGCACAAGCTTATTGTCAGCAGTGGTGTACAAGGGGATGTGGGTCCTGTAGAATAAGCAGTGAAGACCTTCCTTTCCTGGAGGACACACCCTGAATCTAGGTAATAGCTTTTTAAAAAACACCCTTGGAAAAAGTGTGAAGACCTTTTTTTTCCAGAGCCTGAGTGTTTCAGCATTATTTTTGTCTTGTCAGCTTATAATTTAAGTGTCCAGATCTCGTACCTACTGAAGACAGAAATAAAAAAGAAACTATTCCCACATCCTTATTCATAAAATTATGGATGAGATCTGAAGATTCCTGTGCACCCTAACAGTTGTGATCTTCTTTCTGTAAGTTGTTTATGGCTTTCCTGTCGTAGTCCCTGTGAATCGCACATATGATATCTCTCTGCGCTTGCGCAATAGCTTTCGGAACCTTCTAGAACAAGAAAAAACACTTGACTCCTAGCTGGCCCCACCCACCTCGCCCCGAGTATAAGTAGCCCATGGGAGGGACCAGCCGTCAGTTCTCTTTTCCGCGCTCTTCGGATAGCTTGGGAACCCCTTTTTTCTCCAAACGTATTTCTCTATTGACTCCTTCTATCGGACTGCTTAACGGACTTGACTTGATTTGACCTGACTACGATATTGGCTGACGATTTGGACTGGTTTTTCTACTGCTGTTTATTGACCCGGACTGTTCGACCCTTCTGATCTGCTCCAGCCCTTGACCCGGCCTGTCTCCGACGATCCGTCATGTCTACCACCTCCTTTAAGAGGTGCTCTAACCCTTCCTGTCCCAATACCTTTCCGGACACGGATGGCCACTCCTTGTGCCTAGCCTGCCTGGGCGAGGGCCATCTCGCTGCATCGTGTGCGGTCTGCCTGGCCTTTACCGCCCAAACGAGGAAGAACAGGGAGGTGCGACTTAAGGCTGCCCTGTACGAGAAAGTCCTTCTCCCTCCACCTCCCCCTGGACAGACTGGGCCCTCTCCCGGCCCCAACTTACCTTTTTCGCTCCAGGACGATCCTCTGGCCAAAAAGAAGGCCAAGAAGCCTAAGGACAAGGGTCTCCAAGATGGCCGTCGCCCTGCTCTGCCTAAAAAAACAGCAGCAAAAAGAGCGGGAATCGCTGCAGACAAGACCCCCGCTCCTCCCTCCCATTCTGGGAGAGCCCTGGGCAGTCTCCCGCGACCTCTGCCGGCCGCTGAGGCTAATGCAGGCTCCCCCGCTGTGGCGCCTTCCCCGATGCAAGGGATGGGAGACCTAGCATCGCCCGCCCCGATGCCTACGCTCCTGCCTCATGAAGCCGCGTTCTTCCCGGCATCAGCAGGGACACAGCTCTCTCTCCGGGCCCGACTTCGACTCCGATCCCGTCTGGGATCCAGGTCTCGAGGAGCTTGGTCGCGGGTCCTGAGTTAGCAGAGGCTCCGCCCCTCCAGGAAGCCGGCAGGGACACTCCGCCCATCCAGGAAGTGTCCGCTGCAGCCCCGCCCACCCAGGGCCCGAGCGTCCCGACGCTGGCAGGGACGAGCCCCGCTGCTGAGCCTATGGGCGCGATGCAGACAGGGAGCCATGCCCTCGGCCTGCTGCCTCCTTCCGCGGATCCCCTCTCGCCCCAGTCGAGATCGGGCAGATCGGGCCGATCCGCGCGCCACTCCAGCAGGCGCAGGCGGCGTTCCCGATCCCCGTCCCGGAGGACTGGAGGCTCTCGATGTCACCGACGCCGCTCCCACACCAGGAGCAGAGCACGATCTTCCTCCTCGTCTCCCTCCTCCTCCTCCTCCCCTCCGCGCAGGAGGCGCCGACGCAGCTCACGATTCTCGCGCTCCTCATCCTGCCGTCGGACGGCCTACGGACCGGCCCACGTGCCACCACCGGGATGCTGGCAGCTGGGCCCAGCAGGGCAGCTTGTGTATGTGCCCATGCCCCCACCGCTCACGATGCCTCCTCCTCCATCGGCGGCGCTGATGACCGGGATGGGCCCCCCAACACCTGCCAGGCCTGCCCTGACTGCGCCAGCGGCCTCCGCTCCAGTGATGGATGCTGTCACCACACCGATGGTCGACCCCGCCCCCTCAAGTGGGGCCTTGAGCGCTAATCTGGTCCTGGCTGAGCCCAGCACATCTGCTGCAGGTTTTCGCTGTGCAGATGGGGGGACGCTGAGCGGCCCCAGCACTTCTGGCGCGATGGGCCTGCTCGACCAAAGCCTGTGCCAACCTACCACATCTTCAGTCGCGGCTTCGTCCGCCCCACAGGCCGCTGCTACCCCACTGATGGGTTCGGGCACGGACATGCCCGCTCCTGTGACCCACGATGACGGCGACCCACCGGACTCTGATTTGGACACTGAGCCGCATGAGGCTCCTCAGCCTTTGGGGGGTGAGGACACTGTCTTGCCTACAGACTATAATAAATTTGCCGCCTTGGTAGAACGAATGATTAAGGCTTTGGATATCCCTGCTCCGAAACCCCCGGAGCACGTGGAAGATCCAATGTTTCCGTCAGAGGAGCAAAACGTGGTTGTGTCTTCCACCCTCCCCCTCCTACCATATTTGCTCAAGTTGGCCAAGATAATTGATATG